TGCCTGTAGTCCCAGCTACTCGGGAGGCTGAGACAGTAGGATTGCTTGAGCCCAGGAATTTGAGGTTGCCGTGAGCTAGGACACCACGGCACTCGTCCCAGGCAAGAGAGTGAGACTCTGTCTCAAAAAAAAAAAAGAAAGAATAACTAATTAGAACATACTCTGCTGCCTTGGAATAATATTCATGATGTACTACTATTAAGTGAAAAAGAAATAAAACCATAATGCGTATAATATGACCTCATTTTTGTTTTTAAAATTTTATGAGAATGAAGAAAGGTTTTAGAGCACACCTACCAAGCTGCTAACACTGATAATCACAGATATACAAATTGTGAGATGCCATCTTTCATTTCTCACAGTTGCAGTGTTTTTTTTCTTTTAATAATACTAAGGGAGGACTTACTGTGCAGGTGGGAAATATAAATTAATACAAAAAATGCCTATAAAGTTGATTTTTGGCAATAGATTTAGTCCCAAAATTACAGTGGCTTAAATGAGTTGGAAATGTATTTCTTGCTCACATAAAACCCTTAGTTAGGTCCAGGCCTGGTACGGTGCCCTCAATGTTAAGAACTGAAGCTCTTTTATTTTTCTGATCCTCCTGGTTTTGACCTTATGCCTTAAGATATCAGCATCCTCATTTAAGGCTGCAGGATGGAGGATCAGCCAAAGAAGAAGGTGCAGAAGGGCACATATACTCTTCTGAGGAAGTTTCTTTGATGTTGCTATGTGACATTGTGCTACATATCCCATTGACCAAAACTTAGTTACATGACACCCAGTAAGGAAAATTTTATTTTTTGTGGAAGAAGGGAAGAACAGGTGTTAGTTGACAACCAGCTTTCCCTTCCACTGCATTATTTATCAAAATATTAAAAATGTTTATGTTCTTTGATTTGGAATTTATCTCATAGAGCTATCATATTGTGGATAAAGCTTTATAAAATGCAACAAATGGTAATTTTTAACAACATGGATTTGAGTAGGTAGAAATTTTTATGTTAAATGAAAGAAATAAGGTACGTTAAATTCTTAACACTGGATTAGTCAATTAGTCACGTAGTTGAACATTATTTCCTTTTTTCTACCTTTACATGTTTTCCAACATTTTTACAAAATTATGAAATCCTTAAGTAATTCTTTTAGAGATGATCTTTGTGGACATAATCTGTGTCCTTGTATGTGAAAATTTCTCTTATTCACTTAGAAGTAAGTGTATAAGTTCAAAGCTATTTTCTGTCAACGATTTAAAGATAGTGTTCCTTTTCTTACTGTATAATAAGTCTGATAACAGTCTCATTGTTTCTTTGAAGGCAGTCTATAGTGTTTTCCTTTTATTTTTTATATTCTCAAGTTTCACTGAGATGCTATGTCCAGATGTAGGTTTTATTTCTTTTACTTGGCTCTGAAAGCTGCTTTTTCAGATTGGCTTTTGTTTTAAGCTTTGAGTAATGGTTAGCCTCTATTTCGTCTTCCAGCTCACTAATATACATTTTAATTTATGTGGTCAATCTGCTGTTATTTTTTTCCTCCAGATTTAATAGTTATTTTTTATTTCAAGGATCTCTCATTGATTCTTTTCATAATTGTCTGTTTTTTCCTAAGACAAGAGCCTATACTTATATTTCATAGACATGATTCTTTTATCCACTTTTGAGATTAATTTATTAAATTTTTCTTTTAGGTTTAAATTCTTATGTTTGTTGAGTTTAGCTCCATTACCATGTTGGACTTTGTCAGTTTTTGGATGCCTATCGGTTGTGTTCTCATCTGCTGAAGACTTCTCACATTTATCTCCAGAAGAAGAAAGATAGCCAGCCACGTGATGTCCTAGCCTCACAGTGGCAGTGTAACTTTATGATTTTGGTTTCCAGTTTGCCTCTCTGCCTGTTACATATGCTTCACAGCCTGTTCCCTCTTTCTTATATCATTTCTGTAGTTTCGATGTAGGTCCAGAAGAATTTAATGTTTGACTTAGTCTCTTACTATGAATCCTTAAGTCTGTATTACTTAATTGGAAAAAAAGTGTTTTTATAACTAATCAGCAAGTGAATTTCAACATATAATCTTGTAATTTAATTTGAGGTAACGCTAAAATATTTGAGTTGGTACTGCAAACTAGTTCATTTAAGCAATATATGAAGTATGAATGAATTTTTTATAATTAAAAAAATTTTAACTTTTAAGCTAAAAATCCTGCTCTTTAAGCATACTGTGAATACATTTAATTTTAATTTACTTTTTTCCAGAATCATGCTCATGAGCATTTCCTGGATCTTGGAGAATCCAAAAAGCAACAGACAAATCAACACAATTATCGAACGAGATCTGCACTAGAAGAGACTCCTAGACCCTTGGAAGAGACTGAAAATGGCACGAGTTCTTCAGATGTAAGATACTAGCACATTCATGAATCAGTTTTCATTTTTACTTTTTTTTTGATAAGACTTTCATTCTTTGCATTCATTGTGTAGCTCAAATATGGCATTTTTAGATCTTATAATACTGATAGCTTTCATTTACTAAAGATCTAGACATGGCACACATATTCGTAATTTCAAATCTGCAAAACAAATTCATATGAAATAATCTCATACATAAGGGTTCTGAGGCTCAAAGATATTTAGATTACACAGTCAGCTAACAACTAAGTGGTAGAGCAGGGATTAAATGCGGGTTCCTTTTATTTTAAAGACAAGCTTTTAAATGGTACTGAATCTCTAGCATAGTGTAACCATTAGTGTAACTAATCGATAGGTATTTGACAATTTTGGTTTTAACATCTGTACCAGTTTATAGCTTTCTCAGTGTAACTTTTTAATATTCCTCATGCATAATTATTTCCATAAATATTATTGTCCTTACTGAATTACGCATTCCTTCAGCAAAGGCAATCAATTTGCAATCATAAACCATTCTTATTCAGCACTTTTAACCATCTCCTTTCCTTTGTTCTCCAACCTCCATTACCTCCCTTCCCCACATTTGGGTCAGAGATGCAGTCATTTTAGACACTGACTGCTATACACTTTTGAAGCCACATTGTGCTTTGCAATGTTAGACATATGAGAATTCTCTTGAGTATATTTTCTGTGAACAGGGCAATATTAACTCAGACAGGTTATTCTAATGACAATAAGTTAGTCTCCAATGGCTTTAAGTCCTAGTATGGCCAGTTCAAACTAATGTATTCATTCTGGCAAAAAGACAAAATACAATGATTACTTAAACCTGACACGTGACAATTTGGATAGACAGACAAAACATAAAATACATGTGGACTAATTATTTGCCTCATGAGATGTTTGTTTATTTTTGAAAGATTTATAGAATGATTCTTTTAAATATTAAGTTTCTATAAAATATTTAAAATATTCAGTTTATTAGAAACTTGTGTATTTCCAAGAATATGTCTGTTATCTAAAGAAAAATTTTACTAAATCCTCAAGGCTCTTCAGAACTAATTTGTTTATGCTTTTAACATATTTTTAGAGAATGTTAATTCTAGAATAAATTTCTAGAGGATAAATTTCTAGGGAACGGTGTATCACCTTGGGCACAATATACTTAATGGAAAGAATTCTGGATTTTTTGGCTCAAATATTTTGTACTTACGTATTTTGTATTTAGAATGTAGAGGTAGTTCTATTTCTTATCTCTCCTTTTAAGGAAGTAACATACAAAATGTGGAAATAATCGTATCATTTGATTTGATTTTTTTTTCATTTATATTGAGCAGTGATTAAATTGCCTAAATAAAATATACTATTGGGTTTTGATCTTTTCATATTTGCTTAGTTTTCAAAATTCTGTGGATTAGACATACAATTCACATTCTTCATTAAGACATCAAAATGAAAA